GCGCGGCGCGGGGCTCGGGGGAGCCTTGGCGGCAGGGCCGGGCCGGGCGCGCCTCCGCCTTGGCGGGCGGCCCCGCGGGAGGGGGCAGCCAGGCGCGGGCCGTCGCGGCGTCGCGGGCGCCGTCGGGCTCGGAGGCGAAGGGGAAGAAGAGCTGCTGCGCGGCCGCGCCGTCGTAGCCTCCGCGCGGGAAGGGCGGGCCGCCGTCGGGCAGAAGGCCGAATGGGGCGGCCGGCAGCCCCCCGTCCGGGCTGAACATGGTGGCCGCGGCCTAGGGCTCCATGCGGCGCCGACGGGGCTGCGGCTCGTCCCGGCCGCCGCGCTCAAGCCGGGCGCGGGGCGCCGAAAGGTGCCTCCATGCTGCCGCGCCGCCGGGGCCACTGAGCGCCGCGGGGCCGGGCCGGGCCGGGCCGGACCGTATGGAAATGGGCCCCCGCCCCATTGGTCCCGGCGGCGCGGCCCCGCCGGTGGGTCGGGCGTGAACTTGATCCCCTTTCTCTGGGGGGTGGGGGGCCGGGTTCGCGTCGCGCTGCCCCCTGGGCAGTTGGGCGAAGGAGGGGGGGCGCCGTCCTGCCCGCCTGCGGAGCTCTGCGCGCAGCATCTCCCGCCCGGGGCGGCGATGGGACGTTGCACGGGGATGGCACGGGCGCAACGGGAGCGGCCCCGACGCCTGGAAATGGTGGTGCCGTCTGTGTCTGCACGGCCTTAGCGCCCTCCTCCGTGCGCCCATCGGCGCGGCCCCGGGACGGCGCGCAGCGTCCCGCACGTCGCTCCCCTGGCACAGCCCGGCCCCGCAGCGCTGCGCTCCTCTCCTTCGCTGCGCAGGGAGTGCTGCGGTGCGCTGTGCTGACCTCCCCCCGCGCCGATCGGCCCCGCGATGGAGCGCGCTTGAGATTTGCTCTGAAGATCTCTCCTGTCGCGCTGCCCCGGCACGGTGCGGCTGTCAGGCCGCGTGTCGCGGCGTTTCCCCCGTCATTCCGTCCTCCCCAGCGCTGCTCGGGGCCGGCCCTCTGATCCGCGGCCAGAAGCGGGCCGGGGCGTTGGACCGCACCTTCGCCTGTTTATTAACCCGGATTACCGGGAGCCGCCGTTTGGCCTCCGCAGTCTCACACCTGAGATATGCCGAGGAAATAGGCTCGGCAGGACGGCACTGCTGCTGCTCCCGCAGCCGTCGTTGTGCGCCGCGGTGGAGCGGGAGGGGTGCTTGGGGGAGTGGAACTGCCCCTTGTATTGGCCGTCATATAGGGGAAAAGTGGTGGGGCAAAAGGGGTTGAGGCCAACTCCGTCGTCCTGCTGCCCTTGGTGGGCCTTCACCCCGACCCCCGTGGCTCCGAGGACGGAGGGAAGCCCCAGCAGGACGACCTGGGAAGGATGCGAAAAGCCGGTGGGGACGTGGGCAGTCCGAGCAGAACCCCACGTCTGTGCGAGTCGCCTGGGATGGGAACTACTTGGTGGGGGCCCTTCGCTCCACGGCCTCGGATACGGACACAGGTGCCGGTATCAGCCAGGCCTGGGGCAGCATCGGGCAGAGAGGTGCAGCACCACACCGCGCAGCAGCATTACCCCAAGGCTGCTCCGCAGTCTGCCTCGTGCCATCCGCGTCCCAGCGGCGGAAGTGTCGCCGTGGGGCTCCAATCGCAGCCATCAGCCCGGCTCCTCCCGGGCTCCAGCTGCGGCCCCGGGGTTTCAGAAGATGCCTCGGCTGGGCAGTAACCCCCTTCCCCTTTGATTTATTGTTCTTGGGCCGGGCCCCCTCCTCCTGCCAACCTGCTCTTTCTCTCCATCCCCCCAGGAAGCGGGACGAGCCAGCCGCCCGCCTGGGCCTCAAACGCATTCCTGCTCCCTTTCATATACAGGCAGAGGGGAAGGGAGACGTTGACTTTGAACTGTCCCTTTGTAGGAGCAGGGCCCATTGTGGCGGTGATGGTTTTAGCTGGGGGATGTGGAGCGAGTCAGTGGGGTTCCTCGACGTCCCCTGTACATTTCAATGGGGCGATCTCTGGGCCTGTACGAGGTGCATGGCTGCTCTGGGGGTCACTGTGCAGCGCTGGATGAGGCTCACATCTCCTCTCCCTTTGAGGTGGACATCCCTGGAGCTGTGTGCCCGGGGCAGGAGGGATGCTGCTGGCAGGATGCTTAGGCTCTCTGTACTCGGTCTCCTGCTACAGTCTCTGCTGGCAGCCCAAGCCCTGTAACCCGCCAGAGATCAGTGGGATCCTGCTGGAAAAAGCTTAGTGGAGTGAACTGTGTGTGCTCCCCAGCTCGATAGGAAGGGAGCAAGCTGGGACGGCAAAAATGTGCAAACATTTGTCTCTTCCCTTTGCCAAGTGTTCTGGCTTGCTCTCCCTTGGAGAAAAAAGGTATTAGGAGTGTGTGCTCAAAGGTGATGTTTTATTCACCGCCAGTAAGTGACAGAGCCATCACTGCTGGATGCCACAGTTTCAGTTGGTGCTGCCCAGGCAGGCTGCAGACCTGCACATGATGGGGATGGGGCCTGACTGGACCCCATGTCCCCATCTGTACCTCAGGCCCATCTAAGGCGCATGAGCACTGAGTTCAGCACCAAAGTCCCGTCCCCAGGAGGAAAACTGCCACTCCTCCATGGCACCATGGTTTGTTTGGCTCCACCAGCAGAGCTGCTGGGGCTGAGCATGCCTTCCTGAGCCGTGGCTGTGCTCCCATGCCCCTCTGCTCAGCCTGGGTCCCTCTGCTCTCTGGTTCTGAGAGCTGCTGCGGTGCTGAGGATGATGCAGGCACTGAAGAGAGCTGGCAGGAGCTGAGGTGAGCATCCTGGAGGGTGGCTGTGCCCAGAGCACTGTTCTTCCTGGAAAGGCTTCCCCAGTACAGATCCTGGGGTGTGATTTGGGTATTAACCACACCACCGCCGCACCTGAACCTGGCAGCTCTTCTTTCTCTGCTGCCTTATGGATAGGGAAAGCCAAAAGACCTGGCTGTGCTTTGAGAGGCCGTTGGGCTCCAGGAGCAAAGGAAAGCCAGAACTGGGAACTTTGGGGACAGTGATTGTGTGAAAGCTGCATTCCCCTGGGCAGTGCATAGCACAGCCCTGGTGACGCGAGGTGCGATGCTGCCTGCCCAGGGCTGCAGCTGGAGACCACAGGGTCCCCCATAGAAAGGAACACCAGGTGGTGGCGTGGGGAGCCTGGCACAGTGTCAGGGTGCGGGTAATGCCAGACATGCCCCAGCTGTGGGGCAGCCCGGAGCGGGGGTGAGCCAAGCACCCCCCGATGGTACTCGGGTGCTTTGGAGATGAGTCAGCGAAGGACCCTCCGGAGCTGCACAATAGCACCCGACCCTGCAGCGCCGAAACCCGGAGGAGACAAGATGGTATCAGCGTGAGGGGGCTGCCGTGATCAAAGGGCCGGGAGAGGAGCTCCAACGGCTACACAATGGCTGGCGGGAGGGGGCACCGATAGCCCTTATCTGCCAGCCCCGCCGAGGTGCGAAGGGCCCGGCCCCGGGGGGCGAGAGATTAGCGGGGTGGGAGGGACCGCCCCGGGTGATTTAGGGCCGGGTGGGTGCGGGCAGAGGCAGCCAGGGGCTCCCATCCAGCGCCTCTGCAGGGAAACCTGCCCCAACCTGGGGTATGTTTTGGCAAACACCCCCACCTGAGAAGCAAAAAATGAAACTGCCTCTCACTGCGTCTGGTAGAAGCGCTGCCTGAGAGCTTTACCGCTGGAGCAAGAGGGCGTCCTCTCTCTCTCCTGGGGAAGGTTTTGGAATAGGGGCAGCAGCCCCCCTGACCCCTCACCTCCACCCCCCCCGGCCTGAGGGCCCCCGCATGCCACAAAAAACTGCCACAGAGCAAAGCTGTGGTGGGGCTCAGCACACACTCGCATGGGTCTCAAACATGGTCGTTTAATAAAATCTCCTTTTAAAATAACTACAATCCATACAATAACAATGGTCTGAGGGAGAGGGGCAGCGACCCACATGTAACAGCACGGCAAAGAGAAAGGATCTGTGCAGTGACGATCGCTGCCCAGAGCATGGCCACGCTGCCATCTCTGCTGTGCTGCGCCTGCAATGGGCCTCCTGCATGCAGCAGGGTCACCTGCGGCTGCAATGCCTGTGCCGGGCTCTGGACACGAAACCACATCTGTGAAAAGCAACCCCAAACTCATCCCAGGCCCTGTGCCAGAGGGGTTGAGGCCAATGCAGTGCAGACTTCGGGCTTGGAGCATCGGGGATGTGTCGGCAGCAGCTGGCAAGGACACAAAGCCCCAGGCTCCTGCATGCTCTACCCAGACACAGACACGGGCAGAGCGTGCAGGTGGGGGGTGGGAGCCCGGGGTGGACGGGAGGAGGCTGTCCCATGTCACAGAGAGATGCTTGGGGCAGCTCCACAGGGAGGCTGTGAAAGGTGTGGGTCTGCCCGGCAGGGCCGTGGGCACAGAGACGGGCAGGTGATGGGGAGATGGTGTGCAGGGGGTGCCCCTGCTCGGCACTGGGCTCAGCCACGCTCACCCTGCGGGCGCTGTGGGGCTCAGGGAGCAGCGCAGCACTGCAGAACAGCGAGTGCACCCAGCCTGCAGCTCCGGCGCTCCTCTCTTTCCTCCCCCGTTGGTTTAAAACTGAAATGCTGAACCCCTTCGGACCGTTCATCGCACCGAGGCCTGGGGTGAGATCCCGGCGAGCTGCAAGGGCCTCGAGGACGACCCCCGCATGCAGCGGGCCCACAGGGTCTCCCCACCCCGGGGCTCGGCGGCTCCGGGACTGCTCTCAGCTCCAGCCCCACGGGTTGGACGGGGCAGCTCAGGGCCACCTCACAGCGGGTCGCTGCCGCGCTGAGGATGCAGCACCGGGACACGAACCCCCGCCCTCCGCAAAGCACAGCACAGCGGGGATCCCCGGCCCCCTCAGCCCTCGGGGTGCCCCGGAGCAGCGGGCGGTGGCAGGGACGCGATCACAGCGGCAAAGAGGACAAGGACGCTTGAAGCAGGGCAGCCCCCGTCCCACGGCTGTTAGTGGGTGTTTATTGGGCAGGCGTCGAGCAGTCCGGCGGTGGGGGGGGGCCGTGCTCTGCCCGGGTCGTGCGGTCCGCAGAAAGCTCGGGCGCGGGGTGCTACGGGTGCACCTTGGGGTTCGGGGGGTGCAGGGAAGAGTCGTCGAACAGCGGGTTCCTCACTTCCATTTCTCCGGTCTGCAGAGCGAGATGGAGGGGAGAAGCGGCCGATCAGGGCCTGCGGCGGAGCGGGTCACCCCCCCGTACACAGCGCTGGGCCCGGAGCCCTCGGGGGGCGCAGAAGCCCGTCCGGGAGGACCGGAGCCGCGTTGGCAGCACTGGGGTTCATCGCCCAGACTTCGCCAACTGCCCCTTAATGGGCCTGTAAAGACGTAATGATGACCCTTAATCTGAGCCCTGATGGTCGGGCTCCGCACCATTACCATGTGAAAGGCGGCTCTGAGACCGCTTTGTGCTCTTTGTACCCAGGGCTGTAAGGAGCTGCCCTGCCTCAGGGTCCCTTCGAGCTGCAGGGCCAGAAGTGGCCCCTCCGGCCCCAGGAGGCGAGGAGCCGCGACTCTCCGTGCTCGGGGCCACCGGGACGGGACGAGACACCCGTCCCGACCCCATAGAGGGGCACATCTCGGGACATAGCGCAGCAGCCGTCGGGGCTGAAGGCACAGCGGGAAGGCAGACGGGCTCGGCCGCCTCGGGGTTTGGTGAAGGCTTCTCACCACTTGTGGGCACGGGGACCCGCACACTCCGCAGCCGCAGCCACCCCGCAGCCGCCTTACCGGAGCCAGCCCGGGGCACTCGTACACGGTGAAGTCTCCGTCCTCGTTCTCCTCATCGGATGAGGCGGAGTCTGGTACCTTGGGCTCTTCTTTATGCCTGTGGGGAGAGGTTGGCGAGAGGGGAGGTCAACGGGATCCCAGTTCACAGGACAGCCACCCAGGCGGTGCTGCCCGAGGACAGAGCCGGGGTGGGGGGATTCCGGAAGGACGAGCTGGCCTCGTGAGCTTTTGGGATGCTTAGCCCTGGCAGCTCTGGGAAAGGCGAGGCTGCTTACTTCTCCATGGAGAGCATCTGCTGCTTTTGGTGCTGGTAGTGGTACATCTGGGCACTCTGAGCCAGCGTTTTGTCCCCAGGCTGGAGAGAGTAGCAGCAGCATGAGGGCAGCGCTCCAGAGAGCAGAGTGCCCAGCCAGGTGGGCCCCGTGGGGAACACATCCCAGCCCACCATGACGGCTCCTTACCGAGATCTTGTCGTAGGGCAGAGGGCTGGCCACTCTCTGCGCCGAGTAGTCTGCTTTCTGTGCCAGCCTGACCTCCTTCTGCAGCCTGACAGGAGGAGAGGACAGTGCTGGCAGGAGCAGCTCCAGAGAGGATCAGGTGCCCTCCCACCCTGATCCCTGTTCTGTGCCATGGCATAGGGAAAAGTCACTGCCACCTCCATCCCACAGGCCATGGCACACAGGGAGCTGGAGATGAGCCACCAATGTGTGGTGTTGGCACCCAGAGCTGCAGTGAAGCCACAGCAGGGGCCACCACTCCCAGGAGCCTGGCACTGGGGTGTCCCACCACTCTCCTCCAGCCCCATCTTCAGGGGACATGGACACTATTGTATTTGCATCGAGGACAGCTCTTGCCTTTCCTCCAAGCCCTCCCCAAGCCCTCGAGAAGAGCATGAGAAGAGCTCCCTGCGCACGGGGACACCGAGGGACACTGAGGGATTTACTGTTACAAGCAGACCCAGCTCACCTGCACCAGCAGACTGCGGCCACAATCAGAGCGGAGATCCCAGCTAGTGTGCACACCACAATCAGCCCTGCAGAGGGAAATGGTGCTGAGCCCTGGGGTACAGCAGCACCCCCAGCACTGCAGAGCCAGCCCGTTCACCGCCTGTGTCATCAGCCTTACCGAGCACCACATCGTCATTCGAAGGGACGGGGGCTGCCTCCACGGGGTATTTCGGTGCAGTGGCAGTGGTAGAGGTGGGGAGGGTGGCAGCCGCCTTGCTGCCGGCCGGGCCCCTCTGCAGAAGCTCCTGACTCAGCCTGCTGGGCGCTCGCTGTCTCCCGGTGGGGGCCGGGGTGGCTGCAGGACAAAGCCAGGTGTGAGCAGAGCAGTGTGCCCCATGTGTGGCCGTACAGTGGGGGCTGACGCGGCCCAAACCACTTGGGGTGAGGAACTGGGCGAGCAGGGGACACCTCAGCACCAGGGCAGGGCCGTGTGACCCTGAGCCTCTGCCACTGTGGCCCTGTCCCATTCAGGAGCTGACAGAAGCCCTGGTGCAGTCCCCTGCCCTATTAGCTTCCCACAAGAGGCCTGAGAGGAACTTCACCGAGCACAAGCAGCACTTACTCCTGGGCTTGCCATCTCGCAGGGTGTGGGGATGGGTAGCATCTTGCCTGGCCAGCATGTTTGCCAGAAAGTCGATTTCTTCTCCTAAGCTGGGAACAGACGTCCTCCCTGCACCAAGAGAAACGTGGGTGTGAGGTGGGCACACGGGCCCAGGGGAGAACCCAGCCTGGGGCCAGAGCGAGCATCACTCCGGATGGGGCTCAGGCAGTGCTGTAGAACTCAGCCTGCAGCCCCACGGCATGGGTGCAGCCCGGGGGTGCCCTCCTGTGGGGCTGCAGTGCAGAGCGGCACTAAGCTGCAGGGGAAGCACAGAGCCTCTCTCGCAGTGCCCGCTGCTCACATATGCGGCTTTTAACAGGATTAAACTCAACTTCAAAGCCAGAAGACCTCCGTGCTCCCTTTCAATTGCTGCATTAAGGCTGTCCCCAGTGGGAAGCCCTGGAGGGTAAATCAAGACATACAAAGGCAAGGTGGTGCGGGCAGCTCGGTTCCTGGAAAATTCAAGGTTATAACAATTACAGCTCCTCTGGAATTTGTCATCACTTGGAGTGTTTGGAAATAAACACCAATCCCTCCCAGCTGGGCACAGAGCCCCTTGGCCACCCCCGCCTGTCTTTGTGACTCACAGTCACTGCCTGTCTGCCCAAGCCAAGCATCAGCCTGAAACGGGGACACTGTGGGCTGGACCAGGAACCCACGGCCAGGCTGGAGTACAGCAGGACAGCAAGGTCACAGCTCAGCACCTATGTGACCCATTCCACCTTAGCTCAGCAGAGGGAGGCACAGCCCTCGTGGTTCCTGGAACTGCTCCTGGTGCTTCCAACTGCTGCTTTCTGGGATCACAGGCTTGGCTGAGAATCTCAGCCCCTGGTTTGACATGTGTGCACACAAGGCTCCAAAACGAGCATGAAGAGCCATCGCCATAACCCTAACCCTAACCCCAAACTTAACCTTAACTCTAACCCTAACCCCAACCTTAACCCTAACCCCAATCCCAAATTTAACCTCAATCCCAGTCCCAACCCTACCCTGAATCCCTGGGAGAACTAGGCTGTATCTGTGCCTGTAGTATTGGGGTGCAGGGCCCATGTCACAGCTGTGACATGCAGGTGCAGGGCAGATGCTGCTGTAACTGCTGATGTTTCCAAAGCAACAATGTGATGTGCCTAAAAAATCTTAAAAATGCAAAAAACCACTCCAACACTGAGCAGACAGAAAGGGCCACTCACAGGGTTCTGTGGGACACAGAGCCCAGAGCTCTCCCAGCATTACAGCCATGTGCTCTCTTTCAGCAGAACCCAGGCAAGTGACTCACCTGCATTAACCAGTTCTTATTTCCACATTCCCTTTCAGCTGCTAAAAATCTCCACACCTCAATTTCACTGGGTTTGAAACAAGCACTTCATTCTCGGCCATTACATTTTTAAAAGCATTTAATTTTAACAGCGGCAGAGAAATAATTTCTGCAGTGACCACCACGTCTGTCTGCCTGCAGTGCAGGGCAGGGGCACAGAGGAGGAAGCAGTGAAGCACCGGCACATGAAGTGCAGCCCTGCCCCAGGATGTGTGAGGGTGAAGGGCAGTACAGGGGCACAGGGGGCAGCAGGCATGCTGGGGGCAGTGGGACAGCAGGGTGTGGGTGCCCTCTGATGGCAGGTATGAGCTCCCAGCCTCGGCACTCCCTGCCCACGGTCTCCTCAGGAAGGCAGGAGGAGGGATGTGTGCAGGCTGCTGTCCCAGGTTCACTGACAGCAGGAATGCCCAAATGCTGCAGGCAGGCGCAGCCTTGATACAAAGCCCCTTATCCACATCATCCTGCCTCGAGACTGCAGATCCCTCCTGACTGCCGGGAAGTGCAGCTAAAGGGAGTGGGCCAGCCCAGGAGCCCCCTTCCTTCTCCTGCACGCGCTGTAGGATCACCCCCAACTCCGCCAGTCCCAGCCGTGCTGCGGGCTCTGTGCCACGGGGACCAAGCAGCAGCAGCAGCAGTGACGCTGAGCACAAACTCACCATCACTTCAGTCCTGCTCCTCCCACAGCACGGGGGGCTCAGACCCCGCCACAAGCCCAAGGTGGGCTCGCAGCAGACAGGCAGGGTCCCGCACAGCCCATCTCACCTCTGTGCTGGTGCTGCGAAGGGTACGCCGAGACCCCCATGCATGCCGTCACCAACCGGAGGAACACGCGGATCATGTGCATCATCTGCTCCAGACCCAAAGCGGCACTTCTCACCCCGCACAGCTGAGCCGGCAGTGCACGGCTCTGTGCCCACACCAGGGAGAGGAGCTCTGGCTCCTGCCCACGCTGCTGCTGGGAGCCAATCGCAGGAGCAGCAATGCAGTGAGCAGCTGGAATCCCGGGATCGGCATCACTGGCAGTCGCAAGCATCTGAAGGATGCCTGACCCTTTAAAGGGGCTGTGTGGGCAGCACGGCTGTGTGGGCAGCCCCTTTAAAGGGTTAGGCATCCTCGAGGGCATGGCAACCACTGTTTCTAAGCTGGCACTGCATCTTCTGCCCCCCCCTCCGCCACGATGCAGCTATCGCAGCTCCTCTGCACCCCTGCAGAACCCTGCAGATGCACTGATGTAGCCAGGAGCCAGGCACTGCCTGAGCGAAACGCAGGATCAGCACTTAGGATGCAAAAGCACCCAGAGAGGAGTCAGTGCCTCCCTGCGAAGGGCACTGGGCAGCCTCAGGATGCTGCTGGACTCTAGCATGCTAAAACAGAGGATTCTGAGAAAACTCTGTTTTCTCTTACATAGACAGGGGCTGAAGGGAAGCCAGCCGCCAGCATGCTGCCTGAAGCCACAGCTGGGATGATGGTGGCTGTGGGGATGGGAGGGGCAGCAGTGGGGGCACCCCCAGCAGAGGATGCTGCTTGTGGCCCCGCATCTCCCTGCCACACCAACACAGAGCTGGGTTGCTATGGAGATGCAGCACTTCCAAGAGGAAAATTTGCTCCCAAGACTTCACAGAATAAAATCAACCCCCCCAACAGAGCCCACAAGCAGGACACCCACCCCTGCTTACTGCTGAATGCCATGAACAGACCCCTACCCCAGCACCCATCCATCACCCCCTTTCCAGTACCCATCCCTTCTGACTGACAGCACCGGACTGCTTCGCTGTGTGGTTCTCCCCTCCCATTTAGAGGTGCCCATCCAGCAGGAAGGGCCGGCCCCCAGGCACACCCAGCACAGGCTCCTTGTTCCTTGGGATGGGTATGAGGGTGGGAGAGGGGCCGTGCCAGGACTGGTGCCATTGTGTTCCCAGCTTGGGGCAAAGACACAGGACCCCCTCCCACAGGGCGCAGGGCTGAGGTACGGGCACGTACCGCTGGGCGAGCGCTTCTCCTGCAGGCAGTGTCCATGGCTGTCCTCCAGGAAGTTGGGCAGGCAGGGGCCGCAGGTGCTCGATCCCAGCGGGCAGAACTTCCGTCGCTGCAGGGCGCAGTCCAGGCGCCGCGGACACGGCTCCGCTGCAGGCAGGAGGAGAGGTGTCAGATGGAGCGGCGGGGCTGGGCACTGCCTGGGACCCCGAGCCCCAGGGCCCCACCTCCCCTCGGTGCCTCCTGCACATCCTGTCCATGCTGAGGGCTCAGCTCCTGCCCACAGCACCCACACAGCACAGGGTTGCTGCAGCCAGAACCAAATCAACACGCAGCTGACGCTCGTGCAGGAGCTGTCATCAAAAATGGTGAAAAAGCAAAAGCCCACTCCTGGGCCTCATCACTGCTGCCTGTCACCATCAGGAACAACTTTAGTCCTTTCAAGAACAGAAAAGGGAAACTCATGGGACTGAGACTCGGGTGTCCGGGTGTTGAATTGTCAGGGTGCTGGGGAGTCAAGGTGTTGGGGGTGTTGGGATGCTGAAGAGTCAGAGTGTTAAGGCGTTGGGATGTCAAGGTGTTGGGGTGTCAGGTTGCCAGGGTGTTGGAATGTCAGGGTGTTGGGATGTTAGGGTGCTGGATGTCTGAGCCCAGCCCAAGGCCATCTGTTTGGAGCCAGTGCAGGGCTCAGCTGTGCAGAGCGCTTGAGAGGTGAATTAACGCACAATGGGAAAATAGTTGGGGGGTTAGGCACAGGAGCTGGACTTGCCACTCACCCACCCTGGTCTCTCACTCAAGGCCATGCTGATTTCATTTAAAACCACACCAAAACCTCAAACATTAGCTTCAGTGCAGAGAAGGTTCCATGGCAGCCGCAGGGCCGGGGACGCCCATGGCCCCACAGGAGGCAGTGACAGACACACAGCCCTGGCGTGCTCAGCCAGCACCCAGCAACCAGTTAAATAAAGCAGCCTGCAATATATAATAGGTCGTTATCTCTGTTTGAGGAACGAGCTGTGCTTGTGCAGCTGTCACGGGTTGGGATTAGGAGCGAGACAGACGGGCACTGATCTAATTAAGCTCCCGATGTTTAATCAATCGGTGTTTAGCGAGCAGATATCGCCACAGGCTGTGCTGCTGGGGCTCCCCGTTTTGCCATGCTGGCTCTGGGGCCTTTGGAGCCTTCCAATGCCCTGCCCTGTGCCCCAGCAGCCAGGCCGTGGGGCCCAGCACCCAACTGGGAGCAGGATGCTCCACCAAACCTCCCGCAGGTGGGCAGCGCAAGCAAAGGCAGCCTGGCACCAGGTTGTGGTGGGGACCCATGGAGGAAGGCTCAGTGCCCCAAGGCCAGGCCCCAACAGGAGGGCTGAGAGAGCTCAACACCTTGCAGCCAGCGTGGAAAAACAAACAGCAGGGTGAGCCTGAGCCAAGGCCATGTGGGAATGGATCCAGTCCCAAGCACGGGAGCTGCTCAGCGAGCTGCTGGGTGCATGCACACACATGCACATACATGCACACACACCCCAAAATGGGTGATCCGGGTCAGAGAGCTCCCCAGAGCACTCCCCATCCCCACGGACCCACGTGGAGACAGCTGGCACCAAGGCCACATGCCTGCCAGAGCACTCTGACAGCACGTGGAGCTGTTGGCATTTACAGCCCCAGGGAAAGGGTTTTGGTTTTTTTCCACACACTTGCAAAACACACAGGTGAAAATGAAATAAATTCTAGGAGGACATCCGGGTATTAATGGAACACAGGAAACTCCCCTGGTGCATAAATGCAGCAGGTGAAAAGGTAAAAGTTAACCTAAGAGGGAAATTAATCAGCGCAGGAGGTTGATATGAGTGCTGCACAAAGGTAACACCCAGCCTCTGGGCTAACAGGGCCCCAGCCTTGCTGCCAATGCCAGTGGCACAGGCACACAGCACACCCTGTGGGGCACTCAGGAGCTCAGCAGTGCTCCTAGCAATGCAGCAATGCATCCAGCAGGGCATTTAGCAGGGCAGCAATGCACCCAGTTGGGTACCCAGCAGTGCACCCAGCAATGCAGCAGTGCACCCAAGAGGCTGCTGGAGAAGAGAACCTCCAGCACCGCTGTGGACACGGCCCGACAGCACTCAGCAGCACAGGTAATGGCAGCAGAGGGCACAGCAGAGCGCATCACACCGGCACAGCTGGTGGGAGCCCACAGCGGTGCTCCAAGGTTGCTCCTCCTCCGTCCTGGTGACGTGGAAGCCACTCATTGCCTGCCTGCCTGCCCCCAAGCCTTTCCTGTGAGCTGGCAGCAGCTGGGGCTTTCCTCCCAGCCTCGCTCCAGGTGCTGTGCAGCAGTGGCTGTGTTCCCTTGCACGGCCATGTGCTGCTTGACCTCAGCTCACAGCCCCTTGGCAGTGCCACACTGCTCACATCACTGCTGTGCTCCTGTCACCGAAATGCAGGACAGTGACCCCTCCTGCCCCTGGTGCTCCACAAGCACTTTCCCTAAGCGCAAACCCCAGCGACTGGATTCTGGGACAAGCACAAAGAGCTGACGTGTTGGCCCTCGGCCCTCACTCTTGCACTTAGAAGCAGGCAGCAAAACCTGCACAAGCCACATTGCACTGCTGCTCCCGGGAGCTGAGCACACGGCCACAGCCACGCAGCTGCACCCCACGCCGCTGCCCTGCCGCCACCAGCCTCCCACACAGCCTGCATCACCGTTCCTGCCATGCCATGCCAAAGGCTGCAAATAAATCACCCCGCAGCTTTGCCCACCTCCTGGTTTGGCAGGTTTGGTTGAGCAACGCCAGCGCCTTCCCCAGCCCGTGTCTCGCGCCGCTCGCCTTGTTTGGAAGTTGTGCTCGCCAGCCAGGCGGGCACAGGGATCCGGCAAAGGCTGTCCCCAGTGCGCCCCGTGCCACAGCCATGGGTGGGATCCATGCCAGGGCATGGGGTTTGCCTGCCTCCAGGTGGCACAGGAAAGGGGACACGCACAAGGATGAGGTCACCACCACCTGCCTCACTGCTGGGAAGAACGCACAGGGGCCTCACAGCAGAAGAAACCCCTCCCAGAAAGGCTCTGTCCTGTGCAAGCTGTAGGAGCAGGACTTCACTTAATTGCTCCTAGAACCCCTTACTGGGCAGAAAAATTACAATTCACCGCCTTGGCAATTTGCTGGGCACATTAAGGAAACAGGAGTGGGATTAATGGGCGCTGCAGGAATGGGAGATGGCAGTGGGAGGGATGGAAATGGCTCCCAAGTGCTGTAAGAGCAGGCAAGGCTGCTGGCATGCTCACAGCCACAAGAGAGCTGGGGGGCAGCAGGGAACAGGGACAGGGACCCACAGGTGGGTTGGTGGCCACTGTGCTCCTCTTGGGACCAGCCCTTGGTCAGCTCCAGAGGGAGGTTTTGGTATCAGCTCTGCAGCAGCAGGGCCGGCCTCCAGCCACGAGTCATTAGCTTCACATAATCAGGAAGAAATAAAAAAAAAAAAAAAGAAAGAAAGAGGAGGAGAAACAGACGCTGCACGCAATTTCCTTGGTGCAAACCAAGCAGCATGTAGGCTTCTCCCTGGGCAGGCTGATGGGGCACAATGGGACGCGGATGGAGCTGGGGAGAGCTAAGTGCCCCCACAGGGACCGCAGGCTGTCACAAAGCACTTTGTGGTGCCACAAAGCACCTTGCTGTCCTTGCTGCCTCACATACCACCAACCTTCCTTCTGGTGACCCGACAGCTGCTGGCTGCAGCAGGCAGGGACAGCTCACCGCAGAGACCCACGGCCTCAGAGCAGCAGTGCTGCACCCACCAGGGCCAGATGCTCCCACAGCCACAGTCCTCCCACACCTAGCTGGCGGCCCACACCTCCAGGAGACATTTGGAAGCCTTTAGCGAAGACAGATCAGGCACGATTTCGCTAACAAAACGCCCTCTGGTAGCTCGGAGGCGGCAGCAGCAGAGTGGGCTGCGGGGGGGTCTGCCTGACCTGCCCACACCGCCCGACCACACGCTGCCCCCAGCCCCAGTCCAGCCCCCAGGGGCGTGGGCAGTGCCCGCAGCTCCGGGCACAGAGGGCACATACGCCTCGCAGGAGGCCCTGCAGCCCTCACTGGGTGCACAGTGCCTTCTCACAGCACGGCCACGTCCAGGGCCCCTGGGGAGGGGCTGCAGGTGGAACAGCCAAGCAACTGCCCAGAAATTTCTTTTGTTTCTTTTTTATCCCCTGCGAGACAGAAGCTGCTCGAGCAAAGCTTCTCGTTTCCAGCCAGGAAGCCAAGAATTAGCGCTGCCGGCAGCGCGCCGCAGCCCAGCGCCGGGTCACATTACCGGCAGATTACCGGGGTCTCTCTCTGCCAGCTTAGCGGGCGGCTCGCAGATAATCCCCGGCAGCCGCACAGCGCCGCAGCATCCCTGCACAGAGCCGGACTCTGTCCCCACGCTGTGCCACCTCCGCCTCCTTCCCCAGAAGGGAAACCAAGGGCAGGAGCCACGCCGGGCTCTGTCTGAAAGCCAGAAAGGCGCTGCTCGGGGCAGCACGGTGCTGGACACAAAACGGAGCAGCTGTGATTGCGGTGCTCCGCGGGCGGGAGGATGGATTGAAGGCTGCCTGCTCTGCCTGCTTTTCTTCCTTCAATTCAAAACACACAATGGGAGGAAACGGAAAATGCCCATATGGGAACAGGACTCGGTGCAGCGCGCTCAGCAGCTCACGCAGTGCTCAGAGTGGGGGGAACAAAATGCTTCGATCTGGGGCTGCCCGAGCCCCGGCCTGCTGCAGCACCGGCACTGCCATCCCGCCCACCCAAGGGCTGCCACCCAGCTCCAGGCACTTAACGGCCACTTTCTTCCCCTTGCAATTATCCTTAGTTCATGAAACGGCTAATTATAGGCCTGCTGCCTCCATTCGGTGCTCTTATTACCCTCACAACAGCTGCTGTAGATAAAACACGCAGAGCACAGGCTGGGAGAGGCAATGTGGCCCCGGGACCGGGCAGGTGGGGAGCAGAGCCCCACAAAAACACCCAGCGGTGGCACCATGGGGCAGGAGCCCGGCGCCCTGTGCTGCATGGAGCAGAGCCCAGGCCCAGCACAGGGACACAGCACCACCCGCATGGTCCAGGCTGGGGTTAATGCACGGACAGGAGCGATCGCTGCCCCATCCCCAGGGGAAGGGCCACCCCTCCCATCACCATCAGCCCCAACCCTGTGACCCATCTGTCCCCATCAGCCCCCACCCTGTGACACCCCCATCCCCAGCCACCCCCTAAGCACGGAGCCACTATTAAGCCGATTACGTCCCTTAATACTCCGATGGCCCAGAAGGACTGTTTCAGGCAAATGTCTCAAACTCATCTGGGTGTGCTATGGGGGTCAGCTCTGCAGGGGCCGTGGCAGCACCAGAGTGGCAGAACAGCTGTGGGGGTAACCCCTGGAGAAAGGGCAGCTGCAGCCCTGGGAAGCATCACCCAGCACAGTGGCCCTGGCCAGCAGGGACAGTCAGCAGCTCCCTCTGCAGTGGGGGTTTGGGTGACATCCATCTGTCACACAGGCATGGAGAAGGATATTGACCATCGTAACCACGATGACTCAGACGATGCTCTGCGTCTCAAGAAAAAGCAGAGAAGCCTGGAAGCCTCTGCTCACCAGACTGAAACAGCAACACCACAACCTGCATGGTGTGGGGCTCCAAGACCACTCTCTGCTGCCATCCCATGTGGGAAATCCTTTCATTTATAATAACAGATCAAAATTGGTCACCAAATTTCTCAAGAAGCGGTGAGAAGTGTTGACTCTCACTGATGCTCTGGAAAATCCAGACAGGAAACCAGGAGAGGCAACACGAGTGCTGCTGGGAGTCGTGCACATTGGGCAGACACGTGGGGAACACCAAAGCTCCAGCATCGGCTGCACCACCTCCAGCACCAGCTGTCACCCTCCTCCATTCCAGGACAAGGTGAAGACGTCCCCGTGCCACACACCATCTGTGTCCCAGGGGACTGCTGGACCTCCTGGAAAGGCGAACCAGTGCTTCCCTTCCTGCTGTGCAGCATGCCCCAGTGGAAAGCAGCAGGGCACAGAGGGACAGGGCAGGGCAACCCCAAAAGGCTCCTGGAGATAGAGCCCATGAGTCACTGCGTGCCCTGCAAAGCCAAGCTCCCAGCCACGGGAGCCACTGCTGCTGTCGGCACTTCCAGACTGCAGCACATCCCCAGCCTCCGCCTGGGGGAAAGCCAACAGCAGGAGAGCCTCAGCCTGAGCTGTGCTGAAAAGCCACCGTGCAGCTATGGACAAACTCAGGTCCTGCAGCCCAGGGCAGCCCTGAGGTCCCCCCAGCCCAGCACAGGAATGGTTCCTCAAGGAGAAGCACTGCCCTGAGCCCACTGTTCCAGGTGAACCACCCTAGCTCTGCGGTGGCCTTAAATTCAGCCAGTGGAGGCTACACTGGAGGGCTGGTGGCTGCCCAGCACATCTGCAGTGTGCGTCACAGTCCCTGGGTGGCTCTGATGGCTGCCGTGCCCCCAGCGGGGTGACACTGGGCTTCGCCCCCACTGCACGCGACCATGCAGAAACCTGCCTGCAGCACCCCGGGGAGATGGCCAAACCTGTCTGCAGCCAGCACAGCGCCGGGCAGGCCGGGCGAACAATGCCTGCCTGCAAACAATGCTGGGAGCAGAGGGCAGCCCCAGCCCCGAGCAGCCAGTGGGGCAGAAAGCACTGCCAAGAGCCGTGCAGGAACACCATCTCTGCAGCAACACCCAGCGAGGCACAGGATCACAGCCCTGGGCACGCACCGGGCATGCAGAGCAGCGCGCTGACAACCGGGCCTTCAAAACAAAGCGAGATCCCCTGAAGAAAAGAGAAAGCAGGCCATGCACAGAGCTGCTGGGAAGGGAAGAAGAAAGAAAAAGGAAAGCAGGAGCAGCTCCCGCTAACGCGTCGCCCGATGTGTGCCCCGCAGCACAGCGCGCAGCAGCGGGGGGGTGGCAGCGCCCTGCCCGGACTGACGCATCCCCCGGCGCTCGGGCAGCAGAGCAGCTCCATTTGTTTGTTCTCCCAGCGCAGCCACCGGAGCGCAGCGCACAGCCCTGCGACGTTCGCTCCCGGCGCCGCTCCGGGGCCGTCCCCTCTCCCGGGCTGCCCGGCACCTCCCCGGGACGCGGTGCGGGACGCCCCGGACCCCTCCGTCCAAGGACCCGTCCCGGAGCGAAGGACGAGCGCCGCGGGACAGCGGGCGGCAGCGCGGGGAGCGCCGCACCGAGGGACGTCTCCCATCCCGCTCGGCCCATCGCCGCGTGCCGCACCCCGGACTCCCCCACCTGCCGGGGAACCCCTCACCGGAGGGAAGCGGGGCCGCTCCCTCGGCTCCACTCCCCGGGAACCCCCAGCCCCGGCCCGGGGCAGCCCCTCCCCGCCGCACGGCCCGGCCCCGAGCCCGGCGCGGCGGCACGCGGGAGCGCCCTGCGGTGCCTCCCGGCCTCGAGGGGCGCCGGGCCCCGGGGCGAGCCGCGGGTCCCCGGGGCGGGGCGGGGCGGGGGCCGAGGCCGCGGCGCGCACTCACCGGTGCGGGCGGCGCGCGGGCGGCAGGCCCCGAGGGCGGCGAGCAGCAGCAGCAGCGCTCCGCGGCGGGCGGCCGCCACCATCCTCCAGCGGCGCGGGCGGGCGTGGGGCCGCGGGGCTGCGGGCGGCGGCGCCGGGCTCGGCGGGGCGGGGCGGAGGCGGCCGCCCCCTGGCGGGGCGGTGCTCGCTGCGGGGCCGGAGCCGCGGGGCCGCCGCCGCACCTGAGCGCGGTTTGCCTTTGCGCCGCCGCCGCTTTGCGTGCGGTCGTCTCTGCGTGCGCCGGCGGGCGGATAACGTCACGTCCCGCAACCAGAAACGCGGTCCTCGCCCCGGGAGAGAGCGGCGAGGGGCGGAGATGCTGCTGCGGAGCTCCGGGAGCGGAGCTGAGGGAAGAAGCGCTGCAAAGGGGAGCGAGGAAATGCCGTGCAGGGCGTCACGGCGCGGCTGCGGTTGAAAGCACCTCTGGTCCGGCTGTCCAAGCTCTGCCCCAGCAGGACGCCCAGCGCAGGGTGCCCGGAGCCGCGCCCAAGTGGCTTCTGAAGATCTCCGAGGAGACCCCGCAGCCCCTCTGGGCAGCTGTGCTGCTGCTCTGCCACCCGCACGGCCCTGAAGCGCTTCCTGATGTTCGGAAGGAACCCGCTCGTATTCCAGTTGGTGCCCATCGCTTCTTGTCCTGGCGCTGGGCGCTGTGGAGCACGGCCTGGCTCCGTCTTCATCCTCCCCAGCCCCTGGGCATTTGTAGACATTGATGAGATGCCCCTGAACCTCCCGTTCTCTGGGCCGAGCAGTCCCAGCTCTCTCAGCTTTCCTCATAGCACAGTGCTCCAGTCCCTTCCTTGTTTCGGTGCCCCTTCACTGGCCTCTCCCCAGTGGCTCCAGGTCTCCTGTACTGGGGAGCCCAGGACCAGACCCAGTACACCAAGTATGGCCTCACCAGTGCTGAATAGAGGGGATTCCTGGCATCATATTTCTCAGTGCAGCCCAGCACACCGTTAGCTTTCTTTGTGGCAAGGGCACACGTTTGGCTCATGGTCAGCCTGGTGCCCATCAGCACCCACAGGGCCTTCTCTGCCGAGCTGCTTCCAGCTGGGTGCCTCCAGCATGTCCTGGTGCTGGGGCTGTTTCTCCCCCTGGACAGTACTTGGCACTGCTCCTTGTTGAGCTCCATGAGGCTGCTGTCACCCATTTCTAACTACTGTCCAGATCCATCTGGATGGCAGCGTGACCCTGAAGCTTGACTTGGTGATTTTTAAGGTCTTTTCCAACCGGAGCAATTCTGTGTTTCTATGATTCTATGACTCTTTGGTGTATCCACCTCTCCTCCCAAGTTTGTGCCATCTGTGAACCTGTCACATGCAAGGCTTGCCCTGCATTGCTGCTGGAGTAACATTTGGGCTGAGGGCACATCTATGCCTGCTGGGAGCTGTGGAACATGGCTGAGAGCTCTGTGCTTGCCTGTCTTCAGCTTCAGATGCATGCAGGTCCCATCAAGCACTACCTCATGCTTGTGCTTAGGCCTTTGGGCCATGCCCTGTCCCTGCCATGCAAGGATTTTCCCATGCTGGCAGAGGATGCCAAGGCACACAGCTTTGCAGAACCCGGGCACACAATCTGCCTCCCCGGGTGCTGGGCACAGACCTGAGGCCTTGGCGCCAATGATATGAGCAGCACTTGACAGCCACACTGCTGAGATCCTGCTGGCTGGCATTTGCTGTGTTTTCAGCCCTTAACCTTGGAGGAGGGATGCGCACTCCTGCCGCGTGGCTGGGCTCAGCCCCAGCTGATGGGCTCACTGCAGGAGCCCTGTTAGAGTGTCTGCAGGTCCTGGCAGGTCCCACTCCATTGCTTTCCAGGCTTTGCTGGGAGTGAGCAACCAGGGATGCAACCAGACAGGATACGGCGTTTGTGGCAGCAGCCCCAGACTACTGGTTTCTGTTCTTCATTGCAGGACCCTTGGCAGAGCTCTGCTCCGTAGAGTCAGATGTCCTAGCTAACTACATCTGTAGCCTGCTCCTGTTTACCCTGATAAGCCCAGTAATTTCAATGTGTTATGAAAGGGCCAAGCCCTTGCTACTGCCCTGCATTGTCCTTGTCACAGATGGATAGAGGCCAAGCTCAGCCATGGTTATGTTTTGGATCTGATCTGAAGGAGGAAAGGGCAGTGCTGGCTGGGGGACCCAGGACAGCTCTGGGAGACCTCAGAAGGCAATGCTTTTCTGCTGGGGATGGAGAGCAGGGGAGGGAGTTACCAGCTCACCTGGAGCTGCTGGGGTCGGGATGAGGCTCTGAGTACCTGGTGGAGCTGTGTGTGTCCCCATTCATTGCAGGGAAGTTGGACCAGTTGGACCAGATGGCCTTTAAAGATCCCTTCCAACTGAAATGATTCTATGATTGTAGGATGGAAACACACAGCAGTGTGTGTGGGACCAGGCACTGGCCCCTGGTGGAGTGAGGAGCACAGGGACCTGTCTGCCACCGCAGAGATGACCTGGACCGTGGGTCTGCAGTGTGACTGCAAAAGTAGGGGCCAGGACATGGAAAAACTACCCCTGCTGCATGCCTCCTCACTTCTCTCTCTCCATCCAGGGACTTCTCATGGAGGAGGGTGGGCTGAAGGTCAGAAGCTGGTAAAGAAAGGGAGCAGGAGTCTGTGAGGGGTTTCCCCCATGCAGCATACCCAGGCAGGGGATGTCCTTGCACCCCTGCAAGGCGCTCAGCACGTAGGAGCAGGATGGAGGCAGGGTGCTGGGGCTGGCCCCAGGAGCAGGATGGAGGCTGGAGCTCTGATGTACCTACTAGAATGGCAGGGTACATACCTCTGGCAAGTAAATGAGGGATGAAGCCCATCTCCTGCCACAGAGAGAAAACTGAGGAGTAACATGGCACAGGGAAAAGTTGCTCAGCACCCACCCAGAGGGATACACAAGCTAAAATCCTCTGCAGACTCCACTTCATTGCAACGCTTCTGCCTCTCGCCCTGTGGATTTCCTGCAAGGGCTGCACATCCTCCAGCTCAGAGATGTTCTCTGTGCACGGCCACTCTCAACGACTGGTTCTGCACCGTGGTTGCCAGTGGTCTGAAATGAAACAGCCTCGAGGGAGGTGCCAGCCCCTCCAGACCTGCCCCACCCTCTGCCACCACTTCTGTGCTCTGTGCAAGAGCCCAGCACAGGACCTGGAGGACCCGAGGCAGACGCTGCCGCTTGCTCTTACTGGCCTTAGGCAGCACCATCATCTGCTCTTCGGGAAGGCCCCTCTGGCACGTGGTGTCTGAATTTCACTAACGTGGGCTTTCACTTCAGCATCCCTGCCTGCAGGGGACAGACAGTGTTGTCACTGTAGCCAGCCAAAACTGCCCCAGTTCTCCTCCTGGCAGACACTGGGTGTACCCCTGAGCGCAGTGCTCTTGCCAGAGCCCCAGACAATCCAGTGCAACTGGGTAAAATGTCTGGCAATTCCATCCTGCTTGCTGGAAGGTCTGGCCCATGCAACCCACACCTCCCTGGCTCTTGCTGTGCTTTCCTGTGCTTTCTTCAACGCTTGCTGTAGAGAAACAGCACTGAGATGGTCTTTCCCTGGTACAAGGGGTCACTGAGGAGGTTGGCATAGTTGCCACAGGCTGTACTGAACTGCCTGCAGATGAGGTTATCTTCCACTGCAAGAGAAAGTGGAGAGGGCTTCTTTTGGCAAGGGGACAGCTTCATGCCTCCAGGGATGGAGATGGGACAGGACCATAAGCCAAAGAATGATGTGGTAGCTATGGGATGGAGAGGAGATGAACTCAGGACAGCTTCCCTGTGCCTGGGGCCCTTGGGCCTCCAGCAGCTCCTGGAGCCTCAGGCACCACCTGGCTGCCATGCAGGCTGGTGTTCATCTTCCCACAAGCATCCTACCTACTCTGCCCCCCACATCTGAGCCCCCCCAACCTACAAACCTGCACCCCTCCTCTACATCTGCCACTCTCCTCTGTGCCCTTTGCACACCCCTCACCCCTCTCCAGCACTCTGACTGCCCGTGCACCCTGAGACACTCCTCACCATTCCCAAGGCCTGTTCCCAAGGCCAGGGCTGCCCACGACACCACGGGCTTTGCTGAGCTGCTGTGCACTTCTTTCTGCTCCCAGGGAAGCTCCTTGCACATCCCCTGGCATGGCATGGGACTCCCAGCATGCCAGCTGTGGAGAAAAGCTTTGATTTCTGTCTCTCATCACTTTCTAACCAAGACTGGACACCTTTCTGGAAGGTTCATCAACATGATTAATTAAGCTGAATGCAGAGGTGAAGTGGGTCCAGCAGAATCCTATAGCCACTGCTAAACAAAGAACTAATTTTCCCTTCAGGTTTCTAAAGCATACGAAGCCATGCCAATCTTTTTCATTAAGCACGTTTGATTTTGGCCTCTCTTCTCAGATGCGGTCAGAAAATGACAACTGAAGGCAATCTTGCACTGATATAGATCAAATCCAAAGGTGTTTCTGTCACATTTCTGTCATTTACTGACACTTCTGCAGTCCTTGACACAGCCTGGTAGTGGTGCAGAAGCAATAACGCTAAGTGGTTACTCATACTGCACACTTGAAGGTGCTTTACAAACACCCACGGATGCACTAAATCTCTGGCTCCACCTACAGCTGGAAGGAGAAAACCTCCCCCATCACACCAGAAGGTTTCCTTGCACGGTTCCTTGCTGTGCTGCTCCCCGACTAAGCTGTACTTCAAGGCTGAACTCTCAGCAGAAGCAGCTGTTGGACAACTCTTGCCTGGATGGAGAGCATAGCAGCCCCCGCTCTCATCTCCTGAAGTCTCCAGCCACACAGCAGCTGTTCCCATCTCCTCTGTGTTTTCCTACTCCTGGGTGATAGCCGTTCCAGACTGGAGGACAGAGGCAGGTTATTGGCTGCTCTGCTCCATGCACAGCATCAGCACATGTGTTACCAGATCAGGAAGCAATGGCCTCCCCAAGAGGCCTCTTCCTACGTTTTATGAAGAACTGAGGAGCTGAAAGCAAAAAGGAGAGGAGCCCATAGGGAAAGCTACAGCAAATGAGAAGAATTTACACTGACACTTTACCAGGAATCAAAGTT